AAGCTAAGAAAATGCTTATCTCCCTGAGCCTGGCCTTCATAATTCCATTCCATCACAATTTAGCCCTGTTTCCAGAAATGTATCCTTAATGAAATCTGTTTCCTATAACCGTAGAACCATTAAGAAAATTATCTGCAGCCACCTTGACATTCTGTCTTTCTGATTTATATTTCCAGCTATATTCTATCCTATAGAAATGAATTCACAGTCTTTAACCCTTCAGCTCTGCCATTCCCAGCCTCCTAAAAGCCTACTGGGCTCATAAATGCCTCTTTTCTTTTTCCCTTGCTGTTGCTTGGGAAACCTTCCTAATTAGATACGCGGGGCTGTCTCCGTATCACTCTTCAAAGTCCACCTTTTCCAAGAAACATTTCATCTAACTCTTTACGTCCTTCACCCCAGTAGTATTGTATATTTATCTTGCTATTCTTGATATTCAGGGCCAAAATACATGCCATGTTGGAGTTTCTAACGTAATATGTAAAAGTAGCCACAGGCTTCAGGTTGCCCAGTGCTAATCAGGGCTTTGGCACATGGAGAAAGGGGCTAACATGCCTGAACCTCCTGGACCCCATGGCTATTTTTATAGAATAAAAATTATGCTGGGAGCTTTGCTGCTGATCATAAGGTGACTTCGCTTTCCTTCTCTCCCTTATTTCTCTCACTGTCAATGTCTATGGTTGTGACTTGACTTTTTTTTTTATAATGATACTTGTAAATACTGTGTACTTGGATGGCACTAAATAAATATCCTATAAACAAAAGTATAACCCACTTCAGGAACCCAAGAATTATCAGCCTTGTTCAACATCAACTGTGAGCTTTGGGTGAAGTTTATGTATGTTTCAGTTGGATGTACTGTTCTTATTCCTCCATGGATGTTCATGTTGCATATTGCTTACTCTCCAATAAATTGGTTGTTGAAATTATTCAAACAGCAAGGCGGGCACCCTTTCAGTTTAGAATCATGACATGAGAGAAGAAGAAGCTACCTTTTTTTGTTTAAAATACTACCATTTCTAAAGTGCATTACAGAAAAGGGTTCTGAAAAGGTCGTAGAAGAACCTGTCTTAAGAGGGGAAAAAGAATAACACTACTTGCTGGGGAGATTGAATCAGCTGTGTGACCGTTTCAATCACTGGCAATCACTTTGAGACATCACTATAGGGCTTTGTCAGTCCTGTTGGTAGTGCTGGTTCTACAAGTTCTCAAAAATGCCAAATGGGGTAGGCATCTGTTTAAATACTAATCTGTGATTTGAATGAAAAATGGGGTACACTTCTGTAGCTTGCAGATGAATAGAAACTGAGAACTGGTTTCATCTTTTGTCTTTAGGCATGCCTCTATTTCTCAGTATCATTTATCAAAATAAGATCCTTATTTATGTTCCCCCTAGCAGGTGGTAGCACCTAGCCCATCTCAGAAGCTAAGCTGGGTTTGCCTATGGTTAATACTTGGATGGGAGATCAAATACCTTGACTTGGAAGTACCAAAAAAAAAAAAAATTCTGGAAGAAGACAATGGCCATTGACTTCTGCATTGCTTTCAAGAAGCACAACATGTTCTTAAAATATTCTAGCCAGAGTTCATGAAAGCATTGTAACAGCCAAAAGAAAATAATTGGTTGATGAAATAAAAGCATTTTCAATTTAGTTGAGAATCTTAGAAGAAACACTAATAAACAGTTTCTTAAGAGGGTTTCATAACCAGCATGTTGCTATCAAAACCCTACCCTAGAGCTACTAGACCTGATCTAAAAAAATCTGGATTATCAGTAGATAGTAACAAAGTTCTATATCTCTGCTGCCATCTAGTCATCATCTTGCTTTTTTGAGGGAGAGGGGGGAGCTCTACCTATCCCATGTCTTAGCCAACAAATCTCTGATCGTAATGGATGTGAATCATATTCAGTGGGCAGATGTTCATCTGAGAAGAGGCGGTCCATCAAATAACTCAGTGTCAAAACATTTAGAGTTCATATATAACACCAATTGAAATAAGAAACTTATGGAAGACAATTCTTGTAGGCATAACAATGCACTTTGCATTGCAGAAACAAACTACATTTGCAAGACTGTCCAAAAGTAAAAGCAACTGGAGCCAGGGGTTCAGTCAAAAAAGTCAAGATGGAAGCCTTGACTGCCATCTCAACTTTTTTGATACCTTCCCCCCACCCCCCACCCCCCAC